TAGTTTGTTTGTTTAGTAAGACTAATCCCAATTGTCACTTTCTAGCACAGGTGATGAAATCTGCAGGCAAAGTTCTCAGAGAAGACTGACACCATGAGTGAGTCTCACTCCAAGGTCATATGAAGTTATCAACAAAACAGCATAAAATAACATCTTCACTACTGCAAAAGAATGAAGTAAAACCTATGCCCCATCCATGCTAACACTCATGCAGCCGGTTCCCCACATTTGCCTTGGTTATTGCTGTCGCTTCTTCCAGAAACTTTTTTCCCCATGAGTGAGCACAGATGCCATACAAGATGTGACGAGCAGGCGGATTAACAAAGGTTAGTAAGGCTGTAGGATGCCACGTTTTGTTTAGCTTTACTAAAAAGAGCAGCCCTAGAAAAAAGTTAGGAGATGAGAAAGTAGAGAAAGAAGCAAACAGGGATGATGTTAAAAATGCTAAGAATCTATTAGCAGACCATGTGAGGTTCTCATAACCAAATTGTTTTTCTAGAAGAAAGGATGGTTTTAAAACTAGTCTTTCTATAAGTATATATTGGATTTGCTATTTTACTGTGTCGTGTTACATTGATCCATTTCATGTATATAATTAGAAGCGTTATCCAGAGAACAAGAAAGCACAAAAGGATCCTTAAAGTGGGTCTACTATGTTTTCACACTTAAGTCAATAAATACCTCACTTCTACAAATTTAAGAAACATACTTTCAGAACAAAAATTAAGCCAGACAAACGTACTGTCATTAAACACCATTTCATATTCCCCAAGTAATACTTTAATAAATACAACTTAGAGATACTTTCTATAAAAACCCATGGCATTTCCAGCTATTTGAGAGCCTATAACACACGAGGACTTTACTGTTTATGTGAAGTGAATCCATTTTCAAATGTTCTTCCTAACCTTCTTTCTAGCTATCTTTGCACCATTACTTCTTTTTCCAAACAGTTTACTTAGGCCTAAAGCTGCAGCCTGATTTTGGATAATAACCTACTTGATAATAACCAATTGTTCTTAACTAACACAAGCAAATCTTGACACATGGATCTAAATGAAAGCAAAGTTGCATTTACAATTCCCTAGGATGAACAAGCTTAAGAAAGAACTTCTATTCAGAAAATAAAAGTTCCCGAGATAGGATATTACTCACTAGAAAGTTCAAGCTAGCCTAGTAAATGAACATTTTCTTACTTAACAATCTCTTTTACTTGGCTGTAATCACCAAAATTATCTCTAGTAAAGTTTTTTAAAATCCAAACTGATAAACAGTATCTTGCTTTCCATACCAGAGAGTCCCCATGTACAGTTAATTTCTAGGGAACAACAAAAAAATAACCTTAAACAATGATAACAATTTGGCCCTTGAATTTTGAGTTGTTGCTACTGATTTGTATTTATTTCTATTGGTCTATAAATGGATACTAAATCAATTTATAACCCCCACCTATTTGAAAATTTGGCAATACAAAGTAGATAAAGCTAAATTTTATAGATTCTAAACTACTTTTTTTCCTTTTTATTTTTAGCTTAAAAAATCAGAATGGCTAATTTTAAGTGATAAAAAGATGATTACTAATGTTAGAGGAAAAAAGTATACCTGACTTCTAAAAAAGGTTTCCTCGAATATGCAGAAACTGAGTTTCACAAAACACAAACTCTCTCTGATTCTTCCTACATAAGTGGCAACTAAAATTCCTTTTCTGGGCTCCTTTTTCTTTTAAAATTGCTTAAGATAAAGTGAACACTATCTAATTTAGGATATAACAAATATTCTAATCATTGTTTTAATATCATAATTGAGGTAAAAGTCCTTAAGCTCCAAAATAAAACATAAATAAATGAAGAAGGTCTACATAAATCCAAAGAACTCATATTAAATCGAGTGGCCATAATTTCCTCTCTTTCTAAAATAATCATTTTGACTCTATAGACTATGTTTTCTATATATAGTTCAAACATAGCCCAATGATCATCATAGTAGAAAGTCTGTATGCAGTCTGTTTGTTTTTAGAGAGAAGGGAAGGGAGGGAAAAAGAGTGGGAGAGAAATATCAATGCATGAATGAGAGATTCAATGCATGCATGAGAGATACATCTACTGGTTGCCTTTTGCATGCCCCCAACTGGGCACCTAGACCACAACCCAGGCATGTGCCCTGAGTGGGAATCAAACCGGTGACCTTCCGGTTTGCAGGCCAGTGCTCAATCCCCTGAGCCACACCAGCCAGGGCTGTATGCAAAGCTTCTGTGCCAATATGTAAATTCTATCCTATGTCAAAAAAATTAAGATATTTAGAATTCATTAAAGGGTTAAAAAAACTCCTCATGCCTGGCCAGTTCACTAAAAGATCCTTCTGCCTTCCTTAAATATCAAATGAAAGTAGGCCTTTGAAGAGACTCTGCATGAAGCTTATACAAATAGAAGAGAGAAGACATCCAAAACACATGTGCAAAAAAGCAAGCTCAGAAAGGACCAGGTGCGTAATAGGGCACTAACTACAAGAGAATGTAACAAGTGTGATGCATACGGGGAACTATCAAAACAGAAAACTCTGTTTTTTAATGCTGTCCTTATGCAAAAATGATTACATATAATAATTATTTTAAAATATTTACTGAATAATAATTTTTGTATACTCTCAATATTTATTCATAGGGCACATCTCAAATATATTTGTTGGTTGACCAATATAAGATCATAAAAATGCATTTCCTATTCAATATTGTTACAGCTAGATACTCCAGGCAAAATCATTAGAAATCAATTCCTCTTGAGGACAAGAAATTCAAATGGAATGCAGAGTTGGAGTTGTGGCAGGATCTGCTCTTAAAATCCTAGCTTGCTTTGAGACACAGAGAGCAAATGACAACCAGAACCTGATTACTTACAGACTATGCCCCCTGGAAACTAGAATGTCTCAGAGACATTTACTTTCTCTTTGTGAGTGGTCATCATCTTAGTTCAGAGCCCAGACTAACCCCCAATTCTTGGTTACGGAGAACATCAGCCATCAGTAAGTACTCTTTACCACCAAGTTTTTCAGCAGTTGGTCCCAGGACCAGCAGCATGGGCATCCCCAAGGAGCTGGTTAGAAGTATAGAATCAGGTCCCACCCCAGACCTGCTGAATCAGCATCTGCATTTTAATAAGACTCCCAGGTGGCTGATAAGCACTGCTCTACTGAACAGAACAGTGAAGCAAGTCAGAAGACTCAAGTTTAAGCTGCAGACCCATGACTTAATAAATATTCAAGAGTAGGCAAGACAGCAATGTTTAGCCTTGGTTTCCTCAACTGGAGGGAATATAAACTACAGGTAATACTACTCATTCTAGTGGGATGGGGGGTGAGGGTGGATGAAGGTGGAAGAGGATACAGAGGAGTATATGGTGATGGAAAAAGATAAAATTTAAATTAAAAGCATTACTCATTTTATTTATATACATATCTGCTAAAAAGAGTTGTTTCGGGAATAAAAAATGATGGATGCTAAAGCTCTTTGTAAATTATAAAGCACTATACAATTACAAGACATTACTGTTAATCATAAATACAGCTTAATTATACCTGTCTTCGTTTGATCTCTCACAGGCCATTGGAGGCATGTTATTAGATTATACTACATTATTAAGATAAAAGGTTTCTTTGTGTGTCATAAAACTTTTAAGCCCATAATCACACTGTAGCTAAATCTTTCTCTTTTTATTAAAAACGAAATGCCAGCTAGGCCTCATATAGCATTGCTATTATCTTGCTCCAAACACTTGATTTATTCTTACAATCCATTCTTCTGAGGGGCTTTATTATAATTTCCAAGATAACAAGCGAACTGGTTAACCTACTGCCAAGCCTGAGAACTGAGTTGCCCTAGAAAAGGCTGCTTCTGCTTAAGCCCACACAGCAATAGCCTCTCTTCTCCAAAGCAGAGCACGGCTATAAAGCTGTAGTTTACATGCAGTGTTTCACATACTGTATTTTATGCTAAGGGAAGAAACCAGTATTCCAGCTTTCTTCCTGATACATGCTAATCTTAAAAGAAGCCCATAAATCTTAAAAATTGAAAAATTCCTGAATTGCACCCATAGTATCTACAGGTTTGCTTTACCTTTTCCTTACGTATCAAATGGATGCCAAGAAGCTTCTTATGATCAGGGCTTTGTTAACCAAAACTGGATGGCTTTAAAAAGGAAAATCTACCTAATGGATCAACTTATTTATTCATGAGACTCATTTTCTACAAAACTTGGAAAATCAACAACATAAAATGTTAAAGTTGTTAGCTTTATAAGACGCAACCTTAGACCGACTTTCAGCTGCTCACCCAAACCCTTTCTGAACCCAGAAAAACCAGGCTTCCCTCTCTTATCTGAGTTGGCTGTACAGCCCCTGCTTCCACTGTCATCCCAAATGCCACGGGACCCTTACGGAGGATGCAGACTCCATGCAGGGGAACAGAAAAGGATTAACACATGCAACTGTGCAGCAACACTTTTAGATAGTTTAACTTAAAAACAAAACAAAACCAAAAAAAAAGAAGAAAAAGAAAAATGTCTGCCCAGCACGAGAACAACCCCCAGGTCAGCCCAAGAGCAGAGAATTAGTACTATCAGGTGATCAGAAACAAAACCAAGGCAAACACCCACTAAGTTCAATATGCAGTTTCAATATATTATTAAAAGAACCACCACTGATGCACACTTAAAACCACTATCAAGAGGCAAAGGCTACCAGAAAAGCTCCCACCTACAGCACTTGGTTTTGCCAGAAGATTTGACTTTAAGACATAAAAGGCACAGAATAGTACCTTTATGGACAGTTTTTCAGGCTAAGGCTACTACCAGGAGCTGTAAGTTTGTTCTCCATTAAGAAAATGAGAGAATAGAGTGTAGTATCGTGAGAGATGGACAGGCCATGTGGTCGTGTGCTCATCTGTGGGGACGGAAGGTGTGAGAACAAGCTGCCCTTTTCCTAATAGATAATTTAGGGTGGATTCCTACCAGTCTCTGCTGCTCCAGGAGAAGATCTGCTTCTTCCTTCTCCTTTTTGTACAGGATCTCCATTTCCTGTAACCTACAAGAGAAAGAAGACATGGTGAAATCTCCAAGCTGTTTCATAAATGCTACTACATATAGGTTTACAAGAAGTGACAGTCATGTGGGCCATATCACATTTGTGTATTACCGTTTCTCCATCTCCTGTTTCATATCAATTCCCTGTTTTTCCAGAAGCTCTCTCTGGGCGAATGTCCAGTCCACAGGTTCAGAGGGAGTCTCGGCAGAAGGCGTCTTCTCCCGCTCAGCCCGTGCTTGCTCCGGGTGATTAAAACGAAACACGTGGTTTTTACCCATGATAATACGGTTTCCTAGCACAAGAGACACAGGGTTAAGAAAACATTTTTAATATGTACAGTATCTAGGTTAATGACCTCACTCTTTCTAATGCAAAAAGACAGCTTTTGGAATTATACAAGAACATGAATCCTAATGCATCACTTTAGCCTTTAAACAAAGATTCAAAAGTTATAGAGTTGCTCACACAAGCTGTATGATTTTTGCTGAAGACCTCAAACCTGTCCCAGTCTCACCTGAGCGCAGCTGCACAGGCTGGGCCACCCTCTTGCCATTTACGTAGGTTTCTGAGCGTTCGCAGGGCTCTAGAGTCACGATAACTAAGAGGAACGCAAAGTAATGTCAGCATAACAAACCCCTGGGACACAATAACAGAAAGCAGATGACAATGAAGATTCACGGTAGATCCCTGTAACCAACCTAGCGACTGAACGTCAGTGTAACAGTTTACTTTAGGATCCATAACTAGAGCTGTGGTTAAGATAAAACATTTAAATGAATTTGACAAACCTCAGAAGAAGATACGAAATCTCAGTTTTGGTGATACCAGATAGTTCAGTCTATAAAACTGAAAACCATCAGAAAACTTAAGTATGAGATATAGGTCATAACTAGAAACTTAAAAGCAAAAGCTAATATTGTAATCAAGGAAGGAATGAATTATATAACATAAAATACTATTAGATTGTTGTTTTGTTAATAACCTGGACAAAATACAAGAGTGACTTTTTCTTCATTTTTTAGATAAAAATAAACTCTACTGGGTTAAGGTTAGAGGGCCTTCAAATCTCCCACCACCCAGGATATGCATTCCCTTCTTACTTGTCTATCAAATCATTAACATTCAAGACCAAGCCTAATTGCCTATGTCCTGCTTAGTTCTTGGCAGTAACAAAGGGCTTCTTTTGTTCAGGTTATTTTCATGTAAAGTAGCTCTGTCTGTCCCTGCATTTATAAGCAACCCAGGTTTCTCCATTTCCAAATATTAGATTGTACAAGAAAGTATCACTGCAAGAGACAGGGAATACCAAGTCTTGTGTATTTCTCATAATATAGAGTAAAAAGTTGTTGGAAAAACTAAGCCAAGAACTCACCATCCCCACTGTTGTTTCTCTCACTCCGGAAGATACAATGCTCTTCTTTAATGTGAGCCCCACTCAGCACGATGTCCTGGCGCCGCTCAGCATCTGCTTGGCCAACCCTGAACACAGGGAGAGTGTTTCCCAGGGAAATTCAGACACAAAGAGCACTACAATGAATCTCTTTCTCCCAAAGAATATTCTTTGGTATGTACAAAAAAGGTATCACCTTTTTTTTTTAATGAGAGTCTTTCAACTGTAAATTCTATTTTTATACACAGTCAACTTCCCTACCTCAGAATAAGAAACCAAGGAACAATAATACACCAATGTAATTCACACGGCATTATAAAAAGACACAAGTGAACTAATTTCTCTAATGTTCAGATGTAAGAAGGAAAAAATTTTTACTTAGGGTCCTTTAGAGAAAAACTACATGTTCATTGGTTCAGCTGGTTAAAACACATAATTTGGAAAGAGAGGATAGTTTATAACTATTTCAGATGGGAAAAAGAGCAAATCACAATGACAAATTTTTTCAACAACTGACTTCCCTTTATTTAATCACCTAAAAGAAAGCACTAAGCACCAAAAGATACACACATACCTTGTAATTCCATCTTTGATGTAATAAAGCAGGCATTCTGACATCAGCGGGTCCTCATTGAGGTTAACAAGATGTGGGGTCTGAAAAAGGTTAGATAATCAGTCCAAGCAAGTGCCCTGAGAGAGCTGTGGCAACAGCAGGCTGAGGGCTTCCCGGATTACCACCGCAGGCTAGAAAAGAGACTGCCTTCCTTCCCAGATGCAGTGCCGTAATAAACAGAAACTACTCTGTTCAGGCCTTCCCAACTCCACTAATACAGTTTATCTAAAAATATGAGTTCTGAAGTAAAGAACAAGATTCAGTTCTTGATAAAGTCAGAACATTCAGAACACAAAGATAAATTAGTAGTACAGGCTGATTCCCTGGATGGGTAATCATCATTTTTATAAACACTTGGACAAAAATCTTCAAGGATAGCAAAATACGCCACCTCCAAAATAAGCCACTTTGACATATTATTTGGAGCTGCAGGCACTTAAACAGCCAGTGTGGCGGGAGGCTTTCTCCGAACCCCCTCACCTGCACGGACACAGGTCCTCCAAGAGCGGCTCAGGGGCCACCCGTCCCTCCCAGGAGCTTCATGACCCGGGACAGGTAGACTCTCGTCACTGGAGAGGAGGCCAGAAGCTGACCCACACCCAGACCGACGCTGCCACTGACTATCATTCCCTCTTCTCTCCTCTCCTAAGGGCCCGTCCGTCTCCTTGAAAACCGCTTCCTCCCCCTTAGAAACCATCTTTCTACCCCTCTTTTCCTACTGAATGGAACAACAAATTGATTCTCTCTCTCCCTAAAATCAATTTAAACTTTTTTTTTAAAAGGTAATATCTAAGCCTGAATTCTAAACCACATCAGGAAGTTATTTCCCATGTACACACAAGGCAGACATGTTAATAAACTTCTCTTTGTTTTTCTCCTGTTACTCTGTCTTTTACTACAGAGCTCTCAGCCAAGAACTCGGTAGGGTGGGGGAGATTCTTTTTCCTCACCTACAATTCCAATAAATAGTTAAATTTTCAGTGACTTTATAAAAATGTCCCCACACACCCATCACTTCCCTCTGTAATTTTATCCGTTCTTCCGTGGTCCCAGTTATTGTCTTTAGTCTATTAGTCTTTACCTTAAAGAAGAGAATTACTGACAGTTAACACACATATCTTGTAAAAACCCTCTTCATTTAAGTCTATTATTTCTAAAATCTCTTAAAAATAACCAACCTTCTTTGGTGAAAATAACCCACTGGAATCCAAAAATAAGACACATGGTGTTGGGGTCAAAATCTATTCAAGATGATGTCACCAAATGTGAAAAAAATGCAACAGTCAGATGAGAGGGTCAAGAAAAGGGGCCACCAAAGACTTTAAAATGAAATGAGAAAAACCTCTCCATCTTCTCAACTAGCATCTGCCTCTGCAGTTCGAGAGCTTTGCTGATTTGAGAAAGTCAAAGGCCTCTTTGGGCAGCTGGTCTAAGAAAAAAAGGAATCTCTGAAACAGGTTCTATTTTTTTCTTTTCTTGCCTTAAAAGAACTTCCCCCCAGTTTTCAATCGCACTGAGGTGTGACTGACAATTAAAACTGGATTTATTTAGGTTGAATGTGATTTTTTAGAGGTGTACAATGTGTTCATCTGTATATGCACGCATGGGCAATGATTACCCAGCCGAGTTAACATATCAAAAACAGGTTCTAAACTGAATTTGGGTACGGTCAGCTTCTTCAGGAAGTCTAGAAAGTTAAAGCAGGAAGGGTAAAATGAAAGAAAAAGGTTTCAAAACAGAGCTGCTAGTTTGGAATTCTATGCTGTTTACATCACAGAACTTGTTATATATTTTTTAATTTTAATTTTAATTTTTTAGAGAGGGGAAGGGAGCGAGAAAGAGAGGGAGAGAAACATCAGTGTGTGGTTGCCTCTCGCACGCCCCGCAACCCAAGCATGTGCCCTGACTGGGAATCAAACCAGCAACCCTCTGATTTGCAGGCCAGCACGCAACCTCCAAGCCATCCATACTCGCTAGGGTACAAAACTTAAGTTATTTATGATTGGTGTTAAACACCATATTTTTACAAGATGTTATATAAAAACTTTCCCCACAGTTCTTCACACCGAAAGATGTTATAAAATACCTTAAAATATGTGATTGTGTGTGTATATATTCAGATACATGCAAAAGCGTAATAACCCACAGCTGCTACAATCTCTACAACCTTAAATAATATATCTGAATAAATAATGTCATCCTGAAGGAAAAGCCTTTAAACTGTGAAAATCATTGACCTTAGGCAATAAAAACATATAAAAGAGTTTTACTATTGTTCAAGTTTTACAACATATACCTAAAATTTCTTTAAATCAATCTTCTTTGTTGAGAAAAACATACTGGAAATTATGAAAAAGTTATGTGAGAAACCTAATCAAAAGAGTCCTAACTCTGATGGTGTGAGTGGGAAGGTAACTGCCAGAGCCTTTCTGTGTTACTGAGAGAGGAGCAGAGGCTAGAAGGGCGGGGACAGGAATCGTTCTGCTCAGTGTGGAACTGTTCTGCTCAGTGTGTGACTGTCTATAACACACTGCAGAAGCACACTGAGGCGGTTATTGTCCTACACAGAACCGAGCAGCTGCAATTCTTCGAGGGAGTGATAAATCAGGGTTGCTGGTATCTGTGGGAAAATCAGCACAGAAAGAGTAGCCAAGCCAAAGCAAGGTAAGTGAGGTTAGGCTGGGAATTTAAGAGAGGGCAACAACAAAGATGATTAAACATACTGAATCAGGAAGGACCAAAAGTTAGGGGCTTACTGCCTTGGGTTTTACTTTGTAATCAGTACACATAATAGGCTACCCTTGTACTGTCAGATAAAATCAGAAATATCTGAAATTAAGTAAGCCAAATCTCAAGGTTTAAAAAAAGGAGGGGGAACGAGGGGCCAGCCTAAAAAGACATGAAGTGCTCCAGTGACCAGACAAAGAAAAAGTGTTTCTGTTTGCTCGAGTTTCACATTATTTCCTACCTTTTTAGGTGAGAAAACCCCCAGAGTTCCTCCATCTTCCCGAATGGCAACTCCCATCTCAGCCAACAAGGCCTCTCTAGAAAAAACAACCACCACATCAGAATGCCAATACCAAAATCTTGATCAAATCAGTCTGACAAAAAAAAAATTGCCCATATTTAAAGTTAAAATCTTCTTATGCCATCATCAGAAAAATTATTTTTAAGAGAAACAGCACATTCAAAGTAAATTATATTCCTATGTTAGGTGAAGGTATATTTACCTAAATAAGAACTTTGTCTCATCTGACTTTGGAGGTAGATAATAAATCATAATAATGTCTATTTACAAAAAAAGAAGGGATATTCCTTTAGGCTCTACATAAAACTAAACTATTTCCTCAAAAATCTAAGTAAGGAATTAGAAAGTAACTTTGATAGATGGAATATTGGCTGTAAGTGTGAGTTTCCTCAATTATGTTCCCATGCCCAACGTAATACTGGTTCAACAATTCTACCTTAAAATCTCTATAATTAATAAGAAAGTTCTGATATGTTTACTGTATCAATACATTGAAACTCACTTCTGCCTCATTTCTATGAAGAGTGAGAAACAACATTTCAGAAGTGAATATTTATTCCAATAGCAAAAGTTGCATAACTCTATTCTGAGTTATGCTCACATTCAGGGTAGAGATAGAACAGGGATTTTAAAAGTCTGCAACTCAAACGACTTCATTTCTCACCAAAGAGGTTCTAGAAAACTTTGAAAAACAATAATCAGAAAACATTGTTAAATCTGTGCCTTTATCAAAGGCAGCCTTTCTACAAACTAAAAACTATGCCTCAATAGCTCCCAGTTTTTCATAGCTTTTTAGAAATGGAGGGAGGGAGGGAGAAAAAAGGAGAGAGAGAACCATCCACGTGGGAGAGAAACACAGACTGTCTGCCTCCCATACGCGCCCTGATTGAGATTGAACCTGCAACCTAACCTGGGTATGTGCTCTGACTGGGGGAATCAAATCCTCTACACGTCCTGGTCTGTGTGTGGGATGATGCTCCAACCAACCGAGCCACAACAGCCAGGGTGAAGGTTCTTTTATTTGATCATTTCTTACTATAAAGATAATCCAAATTCCCTAGAAAATTCAGAAATATTCCCAGAGTTTAACCTCCTAACCTCTCCATTCTGATGGCTTCTGTTTTACGCAGCTTCTCTTCCCAGGTTTCATTCAGCTCAGCGATGATCTTCTCTGATTCCTACGGGAGGAAGTCCACAGTTAAAGTAGCAAACAGTATCATAATTAAATACAGCATGTCTAGCAAGGACAGCAAGAAGCAGATGATGTCCTCTGAGAACATGAGGCAGATATGATGAGATTTTTTTTCCCTTTCTTAAAATATAGAGAATCATAAAGACTAGGCCTAACACTAAATCAATCCCAGTATATTAATTTAATTAAGTTCTAATAAAAAAAACCTTAATAGTGTGTGTGTGTGCGCGCGCACGCGTGCACAGGAGAAAGGGTAATAATATTAACACCCAAAATGCAAGGCACAATTTCTGACATCCATATCACTACAATTTTGCCATAACTCTAAGGGATTCAGAACATGCTCCCCCAAAACACGATGCCTTAGCATACTCAATATTTTAAGCTGAAGTAATTTGCAAAATGGTATGTGCAGGAAGGACTCTGCTCTCCTCCCGAAGCAGGCTATTAGAGCCTCAGAAGAGGTGCCCCCATACCTGGAAGGCAGAAGTACCCACACCTCTGAAGATGGAGAAATGCCAAGAGGTATCTGAACAAACAGGACAAGTTTCCCCCAGTTTACTATTCTTAGTTCATACCCCTTTTGCCCCATCGGATTTTTTTGCACATCTTTTCACTCTTCATTAAACTTAATGCTCAGGTTTAACACTTCTTACGAAGACTCCTGTGTCATGTCAAACTTTTATTAAATTAATTTATATGCCTTTCATTATTAATCTGCCTTTCGTTACAGGGGCCACAGATAAGAACCTGGAATGGTAGAAGTAAAAATACTGTTCCTCCTTTACAATACAATACCTTCTGAACACAAACCAATGCATTCTGCCACTGAAGTGATCATTTCAGTTTCTTGCTGAGTATTTATTATATGCCAAAAAAATAAGAAAGAAAACATCTTTCTTGCTCTCAAAGAATTTACTATATACCAGAGAGAGAAATAACTGATGAGTTTTTCATTCAATAATTGTATATAACCCCATTACATATCAAGCCCTATTTTAGGCAACAAAAGGTACGGCAGGGAATAAAATTCCTGCCTTTGTGTGACTTACCTTCTAGTAAGGAGGCTCAAATAATCAATCATAATCAATAAGTCAAGTATATAGTACGGCAGATAGCAGTAAGTGCTTTGGAGAAAAATAAAGTGAGGGAAGGAAAGAACACAGGGTGGGGGAGCAAAGGAGCAACATGGAGTGGGGTCGTCACGACAGGGCTCACCGACAAGGCTCTATGTGAGCAGGAGCTTCTACATGAGTATGTGAGGGAACAGGAAGGAAATGCCTGGAATTTTCCAGAAGCAACAACAGTGCAGCTACAGCAACATGTTTGAGTATTGTGAGCAGGTGAGGTACACCCCCACAAAACAAAACCCTACAGCAGAAGAGAACAGGGCACTAAGTGCTAGAACTGAGGTATTCAGAGGTTGCTGGAGTGTGGGTGAGGCAGGGCTGAGTGATGCTCAGGCCGATGAGCGAAGGACAAGCAGGAACTGACTAATGCACGAAGAGGGAGAACCAAAGCAGGAGATGAGCATATGCAAAAAGCAGCAAAATATGCCAAGCACGGAGACAAAATGAGAAAGATAGATGATGATGATAACAATGCTGAGATAATAATAATGATGATAATAGTGATCAGGATAGAAAGACTTAACAGGGACTTCTGGCAAAGATGGAGGTGTAGGCAGATACACTTCTCCTCCTGGCACAATCAAAAGAAGGAAAACAACAAATTTAAAAACAAACAATAACCAGAACTGCCAGGAAATTGAACTGTATGGGAATCCGACAACCAAGGAGTTAAAAAAAAAAATTTCATCCACACAAGTAGGAGAGAAAGAGGTGGGCAGCTGGGGTAGAGAGGACCCGTGGCAAATTGGAGACTGGAGGACCCGGGCAGGGAGGCAGCAGCTGGCTAACCAGGGGGTCCCACACTTACATGCAGATAAACCGGGAGGAACAACTGGGGAGTGAGACAGACCACGAAACCCAGGGTTCCAGAGAGGAGAAATAAAGCCTCAAAACCTCTGGCTATACAAACTTGTGGGGGTTGAGGCAGCAGGAGAAACTTCCAGCAAAACAGGAGAGTTTGCTGGAGAGACCCATAGGGTCCTAGAACAAAAACAAAACCACCAATCTGGGAAACAGCACCAGAAGGGCCCAATTTGCTTGTAGGTAGTGGGGGAAGTGACTGAAAGCGGGCCCAGAGCTGAGCAAGTGGTATTGTTCCTCTCTGACCCCTACCCCACAGACAGCACCACAATACAGCCACAAGGGTTGCCCCACCCTGGTGAATACCTAAGGCCCCGCCCCTTACACCAGGGTGGGGCAACCCATGTGGCTGTGGGTTGCCCCACAGCCATGCAGGCACGCAGAGTCAAAAAAATATGGCCCAAATGAAAGAACAGATCAAAGCTCAAAAAAAAAAAAAAATACAATTAAGCAATGAAGAAATAGCCAACCTACCAGATGCAGAGCTCAAAACATTAGTAATCAGGATGCTCACAGAAATGGATGAGTATAGTCACAAAATAGAGGAAGAAGTGAAGGCTATGCAAAGTGAATTAAAGAAAAATGTGCAGGGAACCAACAGTGAAGGGAAGGAAACCAGGACTCAAATCAATGGTATGAAGCACAAGGGAGAAATGAACATTAACCCAGAACGAAATGAAGAAACAAGAAAAAAAAAAAGAGAGAGAGAGAGAGGCTAATGATCTACAGGACGACTTTAAACATTCCAACATCCAAATCATAAGGGTGCCAGGAGAAGAGGAACAGCAAGAAATGGAAAACTTATTTGAAAATATAAGGAAGGAGAACTTCCCCAATCTGGCAAAGGAAATAGACTCCCAGGAAGTCCAAGAAGCTCAGAGAGTCCCAAAGAAGGTGGACCCAAGGAGGAACACACCAAGGCACATCATCATTAAATTACCCAAGATTAAAGAGAAGGAGAGAATCTTAAAAGCAGCAAGAGAAAAGGAGACAATTACCTACAAGGGAGTTCCCACAAGACTATGAGCTGATTTCTCCAAAGAAAGCTTGCAGGCAAGAAGGGGCTGGAAAGAAGCATTCCAGGGCATGAAAGGCAAGGACCTATATCCAAGATTACTCTATCCAGCAAAGCTATTATTTAGAATGGAAGGGCAGATAAAGTGCTTCTCAGATAAGGTCAAGTTAAAGGAGTTCATCATCACCAAGCCCTTACATGAAATGTTAAAGGGACTTATCTAAGAAAAAGATGATCAAAAATGTGAACGGTAAAGTAACAACAAATTCAGAACTATCAACAACTGAACCTAAACAAACAAACAAGCAAACTAGGCAAACAACCAGAACAGGAACAGATCCCAGAAAGGGAGATCACATGGCAGTTTTTCAGCAGGGAAGGGGAGGAAGGGGAATGTGGGAAAAGATACAGGGAATAAGAAGCATAAATGGTAGGTACAAAATAGATGAAGAAGTTAAGAATAGTACGGGAAATGGAGAAGCCAAGGAACTTATATGACCCATGGACATGAACTAAGGTGGGGCAATGCTGGTGGAAGGGAGGAGGTACAGGATGGAGGGGAATAAAGGGGAGGAAAAAAATGGGACAACTGTAACAGCATAATCAATAAAATATATATATTTTTAAAAGACTTAAGCCCTGGCCAGTGTTGCTCAGTGGATTAAACACAGGCCTGAGAACCAAAAGGTCTCTGGTTCAACTCCCACTCAGGGCACATGCCTCAGTTGCAGGCCAGGTCCCCAGTAGGGGACACATGGGAGGCAACCATGCATTGATGTTTCTCTCCCTCTTTTTCTCCCTCCCTACCCTTCTCTTTAAAAATAAATAAATAACATCTTAAAAAAAAAAAAGACTTAACAGTTCAAAAAATAGTATGATTCACTTAATAGGCTATTTTATAAAAGTCTCTCAGATCTCAAAACATAATTACATAGAAATAAACTGTGAATATGTAATACCATAAACCTAGGCGTCTGACATTTGCAGGGAGCATGTCAAAGAGCCAAGAGTAAAGAGTCAAGGCAGCAGCTACAAAAGCGAAGCAGTACAGGAGTTGGGAGGAACAAACTGGAGAGCACAACTCGACCAGGGGCGTGTTAAATGCATCTGCAAGTGACTATGAAGTGGCAAGTACAAGATAAGCTGGCACCATAACCTATATGATATTAAGGCTTATTAATGACAGCTGGGTAGGAATTGTTACAGTCTCAAAACGACAACTTTGAAAACAAAGAAAAAGAATACAATGCCACTGACCAGACCAGAGCAATTATACTAGTGCTTATTAAACACAGTGTGGCCCACAAGCCACTAATGTTCATTACGGAATACAAAGTGACCCAGAGATACCATAAGTACCATGAGATATTCAAAACTTTTTTTCTGGTTGGTTTTCAGAAAAAGATCATGTCAGGGTAAAGGCTTGTCTGGCTGTATTAATGGAATCCATTTGGGGCAACTGCAAACTCACCCTAAGGAAGCAAAGATACTGTCCAGGGATCCCCTTTTACCATTTTGCTGCCAACTCTAATGTGGCATCAATAATTTTACTTCCCACCTGGAGGGTAAGTCAGAATATGATACCTTTGTAGAAAAGAGATTTAGTGAATAAGCTGAGTAGGGCACTACTTTTATTTTTCAATATAGCTTCAAGTTGAAATGTTTATATTGTTTACAAAACTGTTTTTAAAAACTCTAAGAAAAATTGGAGAGAATGACATTGAGTATCACTTTAGCAAAACTTGAGTGCTGGGAAAAGCCTGGGAAAACCATTTATGCCAGAACCATTCTAGGGATAAAGAAATTGAGGACAAGAGAAAGTAAGCAATTAACCTGTGGCCACACTTCTTCCTGAGCCAGGTCTAGAACTGGGTTTCCTAACTCTCAGTGTTGTTTCTACAAGTAAAGCAGAATTGGTAAGCTTTACAAAATATATTCTACAAAAAAGCTCAAAGTTCCTGGCTGGTATAGCTCAGTGGATTGAGCGCGGGCCTGCGAACCAGACAATCACGGTTCGATTCCCAGTCAGGGCACATACCGGGGTTGCAGGCTGGTTCCCTGCAGGGCAGTTCCCAGCAGGGGATGCACAAAAGGCAACCATACATTGATGTTTCTCTCCCTCTCTCCTTCCTTTCCCCTCTAAAGATAAATAAATAAAATACTTAAAAAAAAAAAAAAAAAGCTCAAAGTTCACTAAAAATGAAGAAAGAGTGAAGCGGATTTTCTCCAAGCCCGAACGACAAACTTAGTACAAACAAGATGGAGATGCCAATGGGACGACAGCTCCCAGTCTCTGCATCATCTGGTCACTCTGCGGGCAGGCCCAGCACCCTGGTGTCCAGTCTGCCCCAAACCCTAAAATGGGGATTCGTGCTTAAGAAATGAGGAGCTGAAAAGACGAAATCTTTAAAGGGTCCGTCCTTCCTGCAGGTACTCACATTAAAAAATTCTAAAAAGCAGAGTGACATCAGAAACCTCTTTTAAGTTCCAAGGAATGTTGGGCTAAAGTGTCATTCAACTTCAGTCTCACATCATGTATGTCTAGCTGTTTATGCAGCACTGGTTAATAATTGTTTATACAGCTAAACACAACTGAATCTCTTCCATGATTCAGTTATGGTGAAACCCACAAAACAAGTAACAAAAATTTCCATGAAAAAAAAAATCACAATTTGTGATATTTAAAAGTTAAGTGCTTATATTATACACAGAACATTCCTGAAAGCCATCAGATGGCCAAGGTTTTACTGTACTGAACATAGCATGCTCCATGAGTGAGTTCCAAGTGTGGGGCCCTTGGACTCCTAGCAGAGCATTTGCCCTTGCATGCTTCTGCAATGGGTATTTGTGGATATTTATAGTCTAAGCCCAAGCAATGGCACTCACAGTGCTGACTTTGATGCTAGACTAATAAACACCAGAGCCACCACACAGTGGCTATAGCTACATATTTTAAAACTTACTGAATGGGAATCTAAATCAAAGGTACATACATTCCAATTCAGTGTGAATTATAACTAAAGACTGAAAGCATGTCATTCTGTTTTGCCAGAGAGGTTTATGAAGGGCTCAAAATATTTATGATGGGGTAACATGGTGCCTCTTCCATACGAAAACAGACTACTCGATAAACAAAGCAGGGGCAACGTCCTATGAAAACGTATACTACTATACCAACTGGTCATTTTTTTAATCAAAAAGAGAAGCAAAAGGGAAATAAAATGTTGGGAAAATGAACTGTTTACCATCACAGTATTTTTCTCTACAGTGTCATGTCTTAGGAACGCAGTTACTTCACACTTGACAATGAAATAACCAAAACCAAAAAATTCTCAAGGATTTCTATCACATAACAATGGCCTTGCTGTGGATGCAAGATGTTATCTGCCAGCAGCATTAAAATGCAGGTCTGCCAGATGGAATTCTCACCACTCACAAAGCAAGAGCAGAACCAAGGCGCTTATGCTCCAGTGAACTACCGTGCCGCACTAAAAACTCAAGATTCAATGCAAAGAAGCTGTTTTCTAAAGGCAGGAAGAATAAAAGATTTCATTTATGTTGGCTTAGGGGAGAATTAAAACAGAGAAATGAACAATATTACTTTCTGATGAAAATAATACAGTTTTGTTTTTGGTGGAAAGTAGGGAGGTCGCGGGGAGGGTTTGCTGAATAACGGCAGTGTTATTCCCTAGAAACTATTTGGAAGACACTGGATGACCTAATTCTTCAGAGTCTGGTTAATGTCTTGACTCCTAACATTCAACATTATTTTCAGTTGGACCCACTTGGCAGTTAGGAAGAACTTTCTCTTTATACCAAGATGTATGTTAAAAGAAAGTATCATCTCACTTGTACGCTAAGCCTTTCATAAGCAAATAGTAAGATTCAAAATCCTCAAATAAAAGGAACATTTTATATTAAATAGTAAGTGGGAGATTTCCTTTTTCCTTCCCAAAGAGCATCAGTGACAGCAACTTTGTCACCGATGCCTCCGTGATAAAATACATGAGTGAAGCCTCCCTGCCCAGAGCTTCACTAATGTCTTCAGAAAAATTTCAAAGTCAATTTTACATCAGCAGGAATTACCATTCAATTTGCAATGTGAGAGGATTTCTCACTCCCTCTGGCCTTGCCAGGTTATTTCAGAACTTCAGCCACATTCCACTAACATGTTCTGGGGGAAGATCCAAGATCATCCCTTTGGTTTCCAAAGCACCTTATTTTAGCCGTAAAATGCCAGGGGGAAAGGTGGGCTGATTAAGAAAATCTCAGCCTCACCTGAAAAATGAAGTGACAGCATTTGCCACCTTCAGTTATCAGGCTTAATTCCCTTTAGTGGTGAAAAGGTTCAGCATTTCCAATTATTAATCTGTCAAAGTGTGTCTGTCACTCTCCCCCTCACTCCCTAAGTGAGCAGCAGTCGTAGATGCAAAGAGGACTGTTAGGTCGGCAGCCTGATGACAGTGTCCCAGCTCCTCACAGTGTCTTCGCCCTCCTAGATTTCCCTACCCCGGCACTCTTGAACATAAAGGCCAAAAGATATGGACCAAACTAACATCTTGAATGATAAGCAAGGAAAGAAAAAGCATCTGTAATGCTGTCACAATGACTTGATGCGTGGCACCACAGGTGACAACTGTCTGCTCTCATTGTAGTCACTGAGGGGGAAGGAAGAACCCATGAGTCAGAAGGCTTTGCTGTTCCTGACTTTCACATTCAGGGAGAGGCAAGAAAGGCCCTGCCTGAGCCAGCAACAGGCTGGGAAAGCAAAGCTGGTGCCACATCAGGTGACCTTCACATGCAGGACTAAAGGGCACAGCGCTAAGGCCTCTGACCCCACGTGTACCCGCACAGGAGGAGGCAGGCCTCCCACAACGGTGACTGCAAGGCTCCAAGGCTTTCCATGGACTTCCAAACAATGTCACTTCACGTGTCTTGGAATAAACTTGGTATAACCATTCAAATGTTCAAACTGTCTTTTGATTGTGTATTTATTTTACTAAACACATGCATGGCTCTACATAAAATTCTTCTAATGAAACCAAATGTTTTCAACTAGATTTCTAACTAAACAGTTTCTTTTCTTTTTTATCCACACCTGAGGACACTTTTTCATTGTTTTAGAGAGAGAGGAGAAGGACAGAGTAAGGAGGAGAGAGAAACACTAATGCAAGAGCGAAGCATCAACTGGCTGCCTTCCCACATGTGCCATGTGCCTGGACCAGGGATCAAACTTGTAGTTTAGGTGTGTTCCCTGAAAGAGAATCAAACTGGCGACCTTTCGGTTACAGGACAATGCTCCAACCAACTGAGTCACACTGGCCAGAGCTCTAACTAAACAACTTCACTGTGACTTATAAACTACCTCAGAACTAATGCACATATCTACTTATCAGTTACTTGGTGTGGCCAACCTACGATCTACCCATGCATCTCTCCCACTCTGCCTGGCCATGTCAGACTCAAGCATCCTGGTGAAAAGACTTTTATTATCTCACAAAGCAGCAAATTTCACTTTGAGGACAAGTTAGAAAGTTCTTCCATCTGCTGAAGCAAAATCTCGGTGATTTTTAGTCCTAATTCTGCCTTGTGAAACTGCATGGAATACCTTTAATTCAGTATGAATTATGAACTTACCTTTAGACGTTCAATGGCTTCCTCTCCTCCAGGTGTAGACATAATCCTCTCCTGAATGCTGGTCACAGATGTTAAGCCCACCTGACTATTGAGTGAGCAGGAAGATGAAGATGAAGTAAGGGACCCCATGGATGCTGTGGAAAAATTGCCAGGGCGTTGATTCTCAGAGGCTAGCAAGTACCTATGCTTATTGTTCTGAAAATCTTTCAGATCTGGGAGTCAGAAGGGAAGGCAGAAAAAGTGGAAAGGAAGGAAAGGAACAGAAAAGGAAAAAGACAGGAAGGAACACCAGTGTAAGAAAGGAAAGCATTAAAGTGCCACGACAAAGACATGTTAAAATACGAAGGCAAGCTGTAACTTTTCTAGATGGCAGTTCTAAAACATGTCTGTCTTTAATCTGGGTATCCTAGAAGTTAAGAACCAATTCTGAATTTAGAAACTAAAAAACTGCCGCATAGGTTAATGCTATTGTACCTGGTAGGGGGTAACCAGGGCCTCGGAGGATAATGCTTAGGCATTCTCCCTAAGCAGCTTTGCTACATTCCTTCTATTCCTTCTGTGGCTCCAAATCTACAATGCCTCAAATTTACACTACTCTCAAACTCTGTGGTTTATCACAGTAAGAGAAAAAAGATGATCACTTATTTATCAAGAAGAGTACGTATGATCCTGGTCCAGTGTTTTATAGGATTCAGCAAAAATTCCTTCAAAATGTTAGTTAAAACAAAAATCTGAGCACTTAGTAGTGTACTTTGTTAAGCAACATTTCAGCTATACTAGAATTTTTTAAATATACATTTTTTTTAAAAAAAAAAAAAGAAGAGTAATTGTAGAAATGACAGAAATTTTGTGTAATTCCTAGTTAAGAACTTGGGGCCAACTGCTTGCATCAACAGGGAAGAACAATTAGCAAATGAATGAATCTGGTATAGTTTACATTCATCTATTGAAGCAATGCCAAAATTAAGGCTGAGTATTTGCTGAGTGAGGCCTCTTACTTTTTCTAACAGTATGACCATGAGTCATCGGCCAGCCAAGTTCCTAGTATGAAATGCAAGTTTTAGGGTTACATTTCATTTACTAAGATCTGCATCAGAGGTGTAGATTTTGCTTTTCAACTTAGTTTTGGTACATGAGCCACGAACAACAAAATTCAGTAATGTGCTGTCTGTACTTTCCTTCATTAATCATCCTTCTCAAATAGACACCACAGAAAAACCATGGTATTAGTGCATTCCTATTTTAAAATCAGCACATTTTTAACTTTGAGAAAATCTATATTGCTTAAAATTCATATAAAAACTAAGTTTTCCTTAAAGGATATGGGTCAATACAAACAGAAAAAATATTGTAAGCGCTGTCTGGCCTACTCATCTGTAATTAATCAAAGCCAGTTCTTGAAGCCCCTTAAAACTAGTGGCTGCTTCAAGACAGTTTGAAAACCACCATCTGCAAATATAGAAGATAGGAAAACAAGCAAATTTAAAAGGGAGATAGAAACTGGAGCAAAAAATCAGCTACCAGGTGATGGCAGCAAGGTGGGAAAGAACAAAAGGATGGAGATGGAAGGTCCCGACTAACACATGCAGGCCCTAAAATCAATTAAGAGGAGTCGATTGAAATGCAAATTCAGAAGTAGTCAGGGCTGCTTTCCGGGACCGCACAGAATCAGAACTTAGGTCATGCATAGCTCTCGGGGGAGATGCCACAGCTGCTCAGGGAAGAAGAAGGCAACAAGCTGGCAGCAGCACCTCCTGCAGCACAAAAGCAAGAAAAAGACTGTGCCTTTCCCACAGCAGTGCTTTCCCACACCAGTGTCGCTCAGCTTTGGAAATCTCAGACAGAGCCGTTCCAGGCCAAGAGTCTCCCTGCACCAGAATGGCTTAGTGCCCTCCAGGCCTAACTCCATCTGAGGGGCCAGCATTACGTTTGGTTTCTCTTAGGTTTTCCTCATATTCTGTCAAGCCAACAAATCAATAAAAATAAAAAACTTAACCCACCCTAAAATCAATATTCTTCATTTCTTGTAAGGTAACAATTCCTTGATAAATTATCTTAAAAGAGTAGAAATTATACCACCAGCTTAGTAATACATATGGAAAGACTAATGTGTGATCCTTTATAAAAAGTCCTCATTTTAAGCACAAATTTTATTCACTTAAGTTTTTTAAATTTAATTTGTAATTCATGAAAATAAAATGTTTACCTAACTATCAAGTAAACTGAGGCCCACATACAAATGACACCAACTTAGCCTAAGAACAGTCTGAGTGCTAATCCAACACTCACAAAGCAGCTCAGTCACAATCTTATCAACTGGAAGGGACTGGTTTTAATTAATTATACATACACTAAGGCTCAGAATTACACAGCTAATTAAAATGGCTTTTGCTATTAAATAATCAGACTTGAAGAATCTTAAGAGCAAAAAAAGTGAAATAATGATTAAAAGCTAGGGTTTTGGCTTACACTATCCAACCGGACCACACAGAAACCATGGGATCAACAGCCAACTAACCACTCCAGGTAGCTGTGTCCTTATTGGTAAAATTGGCAGGATAAAACTTTTTGAGTCATTGACAAGATTAAATGAGACAACATATCCAAGGTACTAGAATGTGAACTGCTGTTACCATCATCTGTGACCTTGGGTTCAGTTTAAGCACATAAGTAGAAAAATGGAAGAGTAGAAGCAACAAGAGATTCTTAAGCCTCTTAACGTTATTCAAGACCAAACTGAAATTCAGCAAAGATTTCTTTGCTAAATGTAGAGCAAAAATAGGAACAGTTCTGAATCTACATACACTATGCTCTGTCTGGGATTTCACTATTAGAACTGCTGGCATGCAAAGCTCATTTTAAGCCTAATCCAGCGGAGGCAGATTAGCAAATCAGAGTACTGGAAATGACCAATACACAAAATACACACATTTGCCTCCACTTCCAGAGTAATCATCGATCAATGGATCAACTGAAGGTAAGCAGGAGGGAAAATACAAGAAGGGTCAAAGTTCAGGGTTAGCAGTGACACAGAGAAGGAACAGAGCAGTATTTCTGCATTTGGGGAGATGAAAATATTAACACTTAGAATATATTATCATTTTACAAACTGTATTCATCTAAAATCAAGTGGTAATCAGTAAGACAAACTAAACTAGAAAACCAAAAGTGGCCTCAAAAATCTTATTAGAATTCTAAATAATATATGAATTTTTAAATCAAAAACCATAAATCTGCTGCATTAAATAAAGCCAATACTATTCTGTCTAAATAATCTAGTTAATTTGCTCCAGAGAACTTCTGATTAGTCAGTATGCCTAATCAGACACAAGTGGGTTCATTTTAAGACATATTGTAAGATAACATTCTCTGAAAGCCTAATTCTTGAACTTGAAACAGATATTTTCCTCTTTGTATGTTCACAGGGATTAGGGTGGGGGCATCCACACATGTATCACTACTACTACAGAGAAAGTAGTAGTAGTGATTTCTCTATTAATCACTACATTCGCACATGTATCACTATTAATCCAGAGAAATCCAGAATGCAAAAACAAAAATTTCAAGTACCACTTAGTTTCTCAGTGAGAAAAAGCTTAACATTTCAAATAAACTTCACTGCTGATCTAGCAGAAATCTAATAAAAATACAAGTAGTGATAGAGTCATGAAAAATTAATTTCACAAGTTCAAATGGATATCCTGGTGCATACTATATAAAAAAAATCCTGAGATCATTCATTTTCATTGGGTTTTTTAAGAAGAAGGAAAAAAACCCTTTCACTATCATCTAGCTTCAAGTCCCTTAAACCTAATTCTAAATATAAGAACCCTGAAGAAGAGAGGATTCAGTTTTGAACTGTTCCTGAATTCACTTACTATCAATGATGTCTCCCAGTCCCTGAGCACGAAGAAGGTCCTTCAGTCGTGTCACCTCCTCCTTTAATTCACGGACAAGCTTGGCATTGGGGTCCTCATTAATAACTGCATTGCATTTAATTTGTTTCGCACGATCTGCATATCTAGATCCAAAAAGATTTCGTTTTTGCCATTACTCAGATACTCTACTCCTTTAAGTAACATACCATTAGTTCTAAAGCAAACAGCTTGAGTATTTGCACATACGCATCCTTAATAATAATAGTTTTATAAAGTTTTATAGTGCCTTATAAAGATGAAGAAAAAGGCGCAGATGAATTTAAGTGATTTAGTCAAGCTCACAAAGGAATAAATACCAGAGAAGGAATCAAACTCAAAAGTGATTTGTAAGACTATACAGTATTGCTTTCAAGCATATTAAAAGTATCTTTAATAAGAGAAGAGTAGAACGTTTGGGTTTAAAATAATAAAACCTATGTATGTATAGAAATATTCTATTAGTACACACTGTCAACTAATTCTTTTTAATGCTACCTATATGACGAACATTTCTATAATGACAAACACCACAAGGGACACTTCTTTTTATAGAAATGAATAGTTTTAAGAAATTCTCACTATTACCTAAAAGTTACCCCAAAAGTCTCACTTGAACAATTTCAATACCTTTCCTATGAAAAAGTCCTGGACTTTCCCAATGAAAGTGAAAACCATAAACAGATCGATTCTATCATAATAAGAATCCCTTACCCCCACATTTTCTCTGTTACGAGAGGACTGGATCGTTACTAACCTAAGTGACTACCCCCACAGTGGAAGAAAACACATGGCCTAACAAAACGACCTAACGCGGCGTTGTGTCTGATTCAGCTATTGGGATCAGACTGGAGTACCTCAGAGTGCTCAGGGTTTCATCATAGTTGATATCTGCTGGGCTCAGAGCAGCCACCATTGCAGTCCGAGAATTGCCACCTAAAAAGATGAATCATGATTATTTTAAATCATACTCATTTTAGAAAAGTTTTGTTGAATATGTCAGAACAGACAGCACAACCTCAGATTCTAAGATTTATTCAAAAGTCAACAAATTTCTTAAATGTCCCCAGGTCAGGCACTGTGCTCAATCCGGGTGTCGGGATCGGCCCTATCTCCCTCCCTCCCATGCCAGGCCAGAGCTCTGCCACTCCGCCAGGGCCACTCTGCCAGGGCCACTCCTGGTGATGAGAAAGTCACTGTGACACAGAGGGCCAGACAGGCCAGCCTCAGCCTCTTCTTTCCATCAGCAATGTTTGACACAGCCGACCGTACCCTCCTCATGATCAAGGAGGGGAAGGAGCTACAGAAAGAATAAATGAAAGTCCAAAAACATCAGTAAAATTGAGTGTGAGTCTGCCTCTAATCATGTGTGCCTCAAAAGAGCACGGAGTTCTCAAAGAGGAAGAAAGAGCAACAGTCCGAGGCAGGTGTGTGGTCGGGAAGACAACTACTCCACAGCTCATGTCCTGAAGGCAACAACGTAGGGGAGAAAACCCCAATTTAAATAAACGTGTATACCTCCAACCAGCTTAAATCAAAAAGATAATTACCCACCAGTGGTCAACGTACCTAGATTTTCTCGAAGGAGCCAAGTGAGTACAGAATCCCTGTAGGGAATAAAATCAGTTTTCTTCTTCTTCTTACTCTACAAAACAGAAAGAAATGGTCTTAGTGTTGTTAAGGAGAAAAAATTCACATCAAAGGCAAACCCGCTTAAAATGCCCAAGTAAATTAAATTACAGTAGAACCCTTACTGTGGAAATTTAACACCCACAGCTTCAATTCTTCCCAATACCCAAAGCTCATACAATAAAGTGATTGTTTCTTTTTATATTTTATTTTGAAAAATTTGTAACACACAAAATAGTTTAGAGAGTAGTATAATGAGGTACCATGTAGCCATCATGCAGCTCCAACCATTTTCAATGTTTTGCCAATCATGTTTCAACTATCCCTCAAACACTTTTCTACACTTTTCATTCCCAAACCATTCTGGAATAAATTGCAGACATCATGTCCTTCTAATCCCTAAATCCTCAGGAGATGAGGACAGTCTCTTAGACATACAGTTAAGACCAAATTAAGGAAATTTAATATCAACATAATAAATACTATTATCTAACATCCTATCCATATCATGTCTTTATAACTCGTAGTGTTTTAAAACAAAACCAACATTTCACCTATGAATACTTCAGGTACATATCTGTAACCAAGAAGGACTTTAAAAAAAAACACAACTGCATGACTATTACACACTTAACAAAACTAACAGTAATCCCTTAACATCAAATACCAAATCCCTTAACAGTAATCCCTTAACAGTAATACCAAATCCTCAGACAATACTTTTTACTTCTGCAGAGGGGCAAATACAAATCCTGTACATTCAAGGCCAAATATATACAAGCCACTCACTTAGTTAAAGTATCTACTTGGCCACCAAATCATCAAGTGGGGCTGTTAATCTACTAACTCTTATACAGCAATACCCATTTGGTTTCTCTGAGTGGAAATTATGCCTAAAACGAATCATTAGCGTTGGAGTAAAAGGTCTAAGAAAATGATATAATCAGCTAATCTGGAGATTTGTAAAGACTGCAAAATGTATTTTTCTTATACCACTCTATCCGTTACCCTTCTCATTATCACAGAATAAAACAAAAAGCACCAATGCAAACCCAGTGCTGCAATGGAGGAAGTTATATCCTTTGAAAGTAAAATTTTTTGCACATAAAGGCCACTCCAGTGTCTGCTGGCTGACTGATGTGTTGTGATAAGAAGGTACCAGGGAAGAAGCCAGGGTTTACTGAGATGCATCTCCCCTGTCACTGGCAGTTTCATAATCCATTCCTGGTATAATCTGAGCTTCAAGTAGACTGAGGATGATCTAGTTCTTACAAAACCATCACTATTCAGAAAAAGAATACTATGCAGCTGACCTTTAGTTTACTGAGTAAAGAAAGTAGGCAAGCAGCACTTTAATTCCACCTCTTATCAAAAATATCCCTTCAATCTGCACACATTCTCACAATTAGAAGGTCATTTCCAACAGCAGTTTCTCAATTACACAGACCGCAAGGCAGACTGAAACCACTCAGTCATTCATAGTCTAGTGGAACTTTCACTTCTCTCCCAAATTCTCGAGGCCCAAGTCCTCAGTTTATCCTTTTCTAAAGTTCCCTACTCACTCTACCTTGCCTATGGTTAGTACTGAAAATGCTGCAAGATTTAAAGCATGACAGTTACAATGGCTACAAACAATACTCTAAAAGTAAGCAGCGTCAGTCTACCAAAAATGTTCTATTTTCATTTCTGTAGATTAGACTAAATTAAGGAGTAGCTAAATGAATATGCATAAATAGAACTTCAATCTTTTCTATTTGAAAATACTCTGGAAGTTTAACCACTTCATTTCTACTTGCTCTATTATACAGATGAATCTCATGTCTTATATCTGTAATTTTTAAAAATAAGTGCTTCAGTAGCTACACAAAAAAATGTATTCACATCAATAATCTCTCTGAAAAGAAATACTACTAAGTGTAAGGGGTAATAATCCTACTTCTCTTCCCAGTAGAATTAACAATACATCTTAATTCACCAAAAATTATGTTTGTTACATTAAAAACTAAAGTTTACTTCTGATCTGTTATAGTTATAACATAAATGCAAAATACTAAACTGGGTTTTACAAAACTAATTATAAAAAGTCATTTGTGAATTATTGTGGCACAGAGCAATGGGGGGAAATATACAGAGAAGTACTTTGTAAACTTCTCCTTTAATTGATATGGAAGTTAACTATTGAGTTAGTTTAACTGAACAAGCTGGAATGATCACTGAATTTTAAGTCTTCATGGTTCTGGAACCCAGATTAAATATTTGAAGAATACCCATAAATGTATATCAAAAAGCAGGTTTTAAATCTAAGGCAGCATTTCCTAATAGCAGAGAGAAACAAACAAAAAAAGCATTATTTTAATTTTTGCAGAAATAGAGAATAAAAAAATCTATATGTCTGAAAATATAAGCATAAAATATTTCAGTACAGATACTGCTTCTGTCCCCAATGTCACTCATGTGATTCAGAAGAAACTGTTAGGTGCTCTAATATATATGCAAAAGGGTACTAATAAATTTTAAAGTATTTCCACAGAAATATAAGGAAAAGAAAAATCTGTTGTATTTGGGTTAAAAGGGATGCAAATCATGTTTTCTAAATGCAGTTGGTTTAAATAGATTCTATAGCCTACACTTAATATATAACTAGAAAGAAAATTTTTTTAATCATTTAAATAACCTATGGCTTTTCATGGTAGTAAACAAGTAAAGATAACACAATGAGGTTTTAGAAAAATATACTAGTAATTTCAAGAAGCCAGCTATGTTTTACAATGATACCCCTAAGAAATTTCTCTTATCGTTCTTCTGAGTAGTTTACTGACAGTTTTAAGAGACAGTTCTCTAGATGACTAAAGGAAATACTGTAAGACAACACAATGTAGAAGCTTCCTCAAATTTCCTTTTCCTTTATTCTGAATTCCTCCTCCAGAGCACATCATGTTCCCTAAATCAACTTTGTGCTTAAGTCTCATGATTCTTGGTCACCCTAAAGAGCAATTCTAAATTCCAGAGCCAGAAAACAAACAATAAAAACTTTTTTTGAGGATTCCATCCTTACTTATGCCACCATATACCCGGCTGAGGATCTAAAATCATCACAGTTAATTCTACAGCTAGTTCATTTTTGCCAAACCCCACCATACCTTGCTGGTGCAGTTATCCTACACATGAAAGCATTTAAAAGAGAGAATGAAATCATAGGGTAAGCCTCCATATAGGAAACACAGTGTGTCATTTTTAAGGCATAAACTGAATGACTTCTCACAGGCAAGCAAGAAAGCACTTAATTCTTTTTAAAGATTCAAATGAGGTACTAAACTAAATTAGAACACACATGACTAACACTTCCTTAGCTTCTAACATAAATAATGAAGCCCCTTATATAAAAATTGCTTCAGCTTTAGTGTTCCACTGTTAAGGAATGAAAGAGAATAAATTATTTTAAAAATACATTATTGGCTCCCAAATCAACAGCATTTACTAAGGCAAACTGCTCAAAATACTCCAAAAAGTATTGTATCTTACTTAGAAAAGACTGTATGAAGAAAGAATATGCAATAAATACTTGTGGTTTTTATAAGAGTTACAAAATAAGGGTCAAAAATATGATCCAGAAAGTCCAGGAATGGATATTTATCCAAAAAAACAAACAAAACCCATAGGTCTCTGTAAAGACCTAGTCCGTACTCTGGCCTGCAAGGGTCTGTGCTTACTTTCTTTCTCCATAATCTCTTTACTTTTAGTACAAAGTGTGCCATACATTGTATCATATCGAAAAGCTCTAATAGAAGAAAGGTAAGCTTACATAAAAGGGCCAAGAAAAGACAGCCATCATAAATAATCATAAAATACCTGTCAAGTATACTTGCTGACCAAATGTTTCCCTACAATGAAGTATAATACTCACCACCTCTGCCAAGGCTGAGATGACTTTGCCCAGAGTTGTAAGAGACTTATTAATATTTGCTCCTTCCTGAAATCAATTCCAAATATGAAAGAATTAAAAAGAATTCCTACTATTGCCACACCATATATAATAAATAAAATACAATTAGCCATATGCTACCATTATTAGTTTATTTATGACCAAATTCTAAAAATCCCCTTTAATTTTCAATCAGCCCTTCTCTCCACTTGATAACATGCTAGGACCACGTGCCTAATGCACAGTCCCAAAGTATCATTGAGATGTTTATGCTCCAAAAACTCACAGATGTAGTCTTCTTTCCACGATTCACTACATGAACTCCCTGCTCTCATGAAGCACGTCTCTGGAGGAGTCCATGCTTCTTCCCCCACCTGGATCTTGTGTGTCCTCTCCCTGTTACTGGCTCTTTCATCTAGCCAAACTCTGCCTGTTCCTCTAAAGACATTCAACTCTCACCTGGACCATGAAGCCCTCCTTGAAGAATATGTTCTATAACTTATCCTTTCTTTGAAGTTATAAATCAGAAGTCAGCAGAATTTTTCTGTAAAGGTTTTGTGGGCCATATGAAAGCAGCCACAGATAATACACAAACAAACAGATGCAGTTGTGTCCTACTAAAACTTTATTTACAAAAGCAGGCAGTGTACCAGATATGGCTACTGGCCATAGCTGGTTGGCCTGTGTTACAGAACAATTACTGACTAAGCTATCTGTAGCTCTGTGCAAAGTAAATACCTTTAGTCGAGTCCCTTTGGCACCAGTTGAATCAGCTCGTTCGCTTCCTGCTAGATCCACCAGGCTGATTTTACTGACCTGGTAAAGAACAGTATCGTTCGGGTAATTCCAAAATAAGCATGACAGACACAGACATGAAATTAAAAGACTAAGGTGTGGAGAAGACTAAAAATATTGATTAGGACTCTCATATATGACATAAGAAGACAAAGACAACATATACTTTTTGTCAATTTAAAGAACACGTACAAAATTCATAGCAATTACCTTGGTTCAAAAGAAGTAATGTTAGGACAAACATATTTACGATGATATGTCATAAAAACATGTAAAACTCTGTAGCCACTATTGAAAACAGTATGGAAGTTCCTCAAAAAGCTAAAAATAGAACTACCATATGATCCAGAAAGTCCAGGAATGGATATTTATCCAAAAAACAAAACAAAATACCACTAACTCAAAAGGACATATGCAACTCCAATATTCACTGCAGCATTATTTACAAGAGCCAAGGTATGGAAACAACCTATGTACCCATTAGTGAATGAATAAATAAAGAAAATGTGGTACATATATAAAATGGAATATTATCCAGTCATAAAAAAGAATGAAATCTTACCATATGCAAAAACATAGCCCCTGAGGACATTATGTTAGGTTAATTAAGTCAGATAGAGAAAGAGAAATACCATATGATCTCATTTATATGTGGAATCTTGGGGGGCGGAATCATAGACACAGAGAACAGATGGGTGACTGCCAGAGACAGGAAGTTCGGCAGGGGCGAGGGGGGGTGGTGTCTGAGGAAAGTAGATAAAAATGAGCTAAGGGAATCAAAAAGTACAAACTTCCAGTTATAAGATGAATAAGTCATGTTTGAAGGATCTCCTATAACTACCAGTACAACAGATCTACTGGTAACGATTCAGGTTTAAAAATCCAGTTGTATGTTACTTAGGCATATAGGCAGATTAGAATTCAACATAAATTTATTATTAACAATAATGACAATTAAATGAACATTTATTAAGTGGTTACTTTGTGTCAAGGTCTATTATATGCACTTACCCTATATTAAAACTTAACCCTCTTAATAATCCTATGAGGTTGGGAAACTGAGGCACAAAGACGTTAAGTTACCTTGCCCAAGGTAACACTGCTGAAAAGTGGCAGAGCCAGAGTCTAAAACAAGCAATTGAACCCCAACAGCTACAATATTTAACCATTGTAGAAAACGAGGAATTAACAAGCAAAGTATTTGAACAACATCAGAACTGCTGTGCATTACTCACTAAGAATAAAACACATCTTGTCTGCTTCATGGCTTACTTAAACATTTAATCCCACAATAACATTAGCAGAAATCAAAAAAACAAAATACACACAGCAAAAAAGTCAGTAAAGTAATTAAGAGGTTCCAGTCCAATAGAGGAAAGGAGAGACTTCTTCCTACAGTTCTGGTCAATGAGCTCTCTTGCACAGAGACGCTTTTAAGAGCCCAAGTCTTGGATTGTTTTTTCTTAACCTTATTTTCTCTTTTGCAATTTCACTTAGGACCCATGCTCAAAACTGATTTAGAGTGGAATAAAACTGATAAACAGAAGGTATAAAATACCCTCCATTAAGTAAAAATCCCCTCCACAAAATGCAGAGGGTAGAGGGTAGCAAGAGGGACTTCTGAAAATCCCCATTCTACACAACTCAAGCCCAGAGACTAAAGTTCTCTTACCTTCTCAGTGGAAAGGTTGGTCTCAGTATCATGTTTCTTCTGGGTGAAAACAATTGTAAACACAGCGTGGGAACGGCTACTTGTTTCATTCATGTTGGTAGCTGCCACTGTCCTGAATAAACATAAAGGTGACCATGTAACAAAGGAATTTATAGATAGAAGTTAAAAGGAACAGCAAGCTCCACGTTACAGGCACAATAACAACCAACAACCTTTATTCACAGACTGCGAGACCTTCACACAAACTGCTCTCAATCCACTTTATTCATAAACGAGTCAATCGATTTACCCTCCAACTCTCCAACCCCAAAGATACCCCCACAGAATCATTTTTCATCCTCCAGCTGTCCCTTTAGTAACCACCAAGGCATTTAATCTTTATTCTTTATTAGGCACTCATTTATTCCAGAATCAACTACTACCACAGGCATGTGATAAGCAACATTTTACCATGACCATGACTTAACGGTAAAACTTAACCAAAGTTCCGTGCGTCTCAGCAGTGCATTGTTTTGATGAGCAGATACTGAGTACGCTGACAGCCGCACAGCCAAAGGATCAGAGGACTCCACAATGGCATTGACCTCCAGCGTGCCAAAGACCTCCAGCCATACCTGGCTTTGTTCCCAGCATCCATGAGGTCAGCAATGTCTGTGTAGGAAGTAACTGCCAACTTTGACAGGTCCTCAACATATGGGCCAAGAAGTGGGTGCTCACGTACACGTAAATTACCCTTGTTTTTTGGATTCAGCAAATCTCGAACTCTTTCACAGTAAATTTCCATGTAGCTCACCTTGAAATAAATTATTAGTGAATTAGGACTTAGGGAAAAAAATCTCTACATTAAGATTTTTTTACAACTTTTATTAAAAGCTCTATAATTAGAGATCGGCCACCTTTACTAAGTGAAATGCCATAGTTCCAGTCCCTTTTACTCTATGAACAGTATGCACAGATATCACAGATATCACTGAGGACAGACAAGGAGGTCAACAGGCTATCTCAATCCGCAGTGCCTCTACCTGTCTCAGGCAGAAAAAAATACCATTGTTAATAGCAGCCTAACAGTTGTCAGTACTTTTAAATGTATACTGTTCCTAATAATTGGGAATTACAGAGAGCTTACTCTAAAGCTAGGGAACAAGATTTCAAGTAGTGTCAAAATCAAGGAACAATATCAATATTCCACAGCAGTTAAGACAAGAGACTGACAACTCTAATACTTTAAGACTGACCACAATATGACTTATTATGACAAAAAAACGTGTCTACCAGAGAGGTAATGGCTGGTCAGCACAGAACCTGAGTGTGTGGCCTACACCATCCAAGTCTTACAGAGGAAGAAGCCTCGGCCAGTCTAGTAAACACGCCAGGATTCTCCTGTCAGCAGGACCATTCCTATCATGGAGATGCATGTGTTAGGCTATCATTCACTTCACTTTCCTGTTTTCCCAACACCATTTATTGACAAGACTTTCCTTTCTCCATTGTATGTTTTTTGCTCTTTATCAAAACATAGTTGCCCACAGATATGTAGGGTCAGAACACTTTAATACTATTAGTGACTATGAAATTAAATACCAAAAATGGGGAAGTGTGTAAAATAACTTCATAAAGCACATACAAAAAAAGGAGAATTGTTTATCAAATAATATATATATATGAAGTGATTCTATAAATCTTTTTAAAGAAATAGCAATTTCTTTTTTTAAAGTTTTATCTATTTATCTATCAATCAACCAATGAATCAATCTAGAGAGGGTTAGGGAAAGAGAAAGAGAGACACATTGACTGACTGCCTCTCATACATGCCCAGACCGGGGACCAATCCTGCAACCCAGTCGTGTGCCCTGACTGGGAATCAAACCATCAACCATTCACTTTGCAGGATGATAACCAAACAACTGGGCCACACTGGTCAGGCTGTAAGCCTCTTCTTAAAAGAGCTGGGCTATACAATAGATAGAGAATAACTTTCCAAGATATAAGTAACTATGAAGGCCAGGGAGGAAGGAGAGATTTGATTAACTATGTTTGCAAAATGTATGCCTATAAAAACATAATTAATAGTATTAATGGGAAAGAGTTCACACAAATGAATAAGAAAAACACTGCAATCCCAACAGGTAAACTGACATGGTATCATTTACAAGATGTTCAACCACACTAATAATTAAAAAAATCAAGTTTAAATAAGAGTGAGAAATTTTCCCTCACCAAATTGGCAAACATTTAAAAACAAAAGTACTAAATGTTAGCAAAGACAGATGAGTGCTTACACCCACCTAATGGGGCTTTTTAAAAAAATTCAAATATATTGTTTGACAACCAACATACATCAAAGGAAATAAATAAAATTAAAGTCAGACTTATGAATAAGGATTTAATCACAACATTATTCATTATAACCAAAACTTAGAAATAGCCTAAAAGCACAAAACTGGGGGAGTGGTTAAGCAATCTGTAGCACAGTCATAATTTAGAGTCACTGAAGAGCAACATCTGTGGCAATGGAGTAGGGAGGCCTCTGGTTTTAACTGGCAGGTGTACTCACCTCTACAGAGTAGGACATTTCTTCATTACAGTTGTCGTTGATTTTTTCAAACAGCTCTTCACATAACTACAAAAACAGAATAGCATGTATCAGAGAAGCCGTAAGTTACCCAGGACTGCTAAACAAATTGAGAATATGCCTTTTTCTCTATATTTCTCAAAATATGAATGGCATCAACAACAAAGGTAAATTCTTTGAGTGAAATAAAAGAATGGTTTTAAATACTTTTTATCTATATAATCCCTCAACGATAGCATCCGACAGTATTTTCTTAGAAAGAAAGCCACACTAGGGAAAGAAGTTATGTCTTTTACAGTGTTCTATCATTAATCCATCTGAATTCTTCTCTTCATACTACACTAGAGTAACTGTGACTCTACCATCAGTATTACTATTGTAGCAGTAAAACTACTATTAAACTATATTTTGTACCTACTTATTAGGATATATAAATTTTATTACTATATATTGTCAGTTACTATGTACATTATAAATTTATACATACATAATACAGAGAGAGAATACATAATTTGGAGGGAGTAAATGAAGGTATTTTCAAGAATCATTTTGACTCTAAAACTTCCTGTTTACTTCTCCCTGTCCTAAGACCCCATACCTGTTGTGAAAGGCTAGTCCACTACACAGTGACATTTTTTTCTTAAGATTTCATTTCTTTATTTTTAATGAGAGGGAAAGGGAGGGAGAAAAAAAGGGAGAGAAACATCAATGTCCAGAGAAACATTGATTGGTTGCCTCTCACACGACCCCAACTGGGACCTGGTCCGCAACCCAGGCATGTGCCTTGACTGGGAATTGAACTGGCAACCTTTTGGTTTACAGGATGATGCCCAACACACTAACTGATACCAGTCACATTTACACAGTGCCATTTCTAACAGGAAACATTAATTTTTCTAGATGAGAAAAATTATAAAATTTCATTGTCCCTATCCCCTGAATTTACTTAAAATGTGATATTTGAAAAATAATAAAAATCTATTGAATTTTCATTTGCTATATATTAGTATTAAGGCAATCAATATATTCAGAAAATTATTTATTTGTGATTCTCTTGAAGTCTAAATAGAATTTAAAATTGATTATAAATGGCAATTTCTAAATAATAACCACTTTAAAATGCTAGGCTTTTGTATTAAAATAAAATATTCTAAAGCTTTACCAGAAAGGAGCCCTAGTTGGTGTGGCTCAGTGGATGACTGCTAGTCTGTGAATCAAAGGGTCGCTGGTTCAATTCCCAGTCTAGGGCACATGCCTGGGTTGCAGGCCAGGTCCCCAGTAGGGGGCATGCGAGAGGCAACTACACACAGTTGTTTCTCTCCCTTTCTCTCTCCCTTCCCCTCTCTAAAAAACAAAATAAATAAAATCTAAAAAAAAAATTTAAACTAAAATTCTGCCAGAAAAGAGATACCAGGAAAGATATGTAGGTAATTATACAAGAATTCCAGTAACAAATTAAAGAAAAGGAAGGAGAAACTAAGTGTAGTAATGGGATAAAATAAATGACTATTTAGTATAACTTGGCATAATCCACAATTATTTTGTTGCTCAAAAACTACTGCTTAGTAAAAGCAGAGACGCTAGAACTATCTTGCCTGCATAGGATTCTGGCTCTGCCACTTGGGCAACTGACATGACCTCTGTGCCTGTTCCCTCACATGCAAAATGAGGGTAACAACAGCACTTACCTATTAGGGTCACATGAGGAGGATTAGATGAGCAACTATCTTTAAAGCACTCAGACCTGTGTGTGGCACAGGGGGAGTGCTTCAGAATCCTTTATATATTAGTATTTTAACTATTGTTGTTCCTATATACAGAGGACAACCCCAAATATGCGAGACGGGGCAAAAGCAGGTTCACAGTTGTGAATACGTAAAATAGTTTATTCTTGTATGACTTATTCTTTATTAATTATTGCATTGTTTTCTTTATTATTATATTTTAAATATATTTTACTGATTATGCTATTACAGTTGTCCCATTTCCCCCCTACAAACCCCTCCACCCTGCACATCCCCTCCCACTCCCATTCCCTCCCTTTAGTTCATGTCCATGTGTCATACTTACAAATTCTTTGGCTTCTACATTTCCCATACTATTCTTAACCCTCCCCCCTATCTATTTTCTACCTACCGTCTATGCTACTTATTCTCTGTACCTTTCTCCCCATCTCTCCTCCTTCTACTCCCCTGTTGATAAGCCTCCATGTGATGTCCATTTCTGTGGTTCTGTTCCTGTTTTAGTTGTTTGCTTAGTTTGTTTTTGTTTCAGGTGTGGTTATTTTTTTTAAGACATTATTTATTTATCTTTAGAGGGGAAGGCAAGGAGAGAGGGAGAGAATATCAATGAATGGTTGCCTCTCGTGGGTTCCCCTGCTGAGAAGTGGCTTGCAACCCAGGCATGTGCCCTGACTGGAAATTGAAGTGTAATCCTCTGGTTCACGGGCCCGCGCTCAATCCACTGAGCTATACCAGCCAGGGCTAGGCGTGGTTATTAATAACTGTGAGTTTGCTGTCATTTTAGTGTACATGTTTTTTATCTTCTTTTTCTTAGATAAATCCCTTTAACATTTCATATAATAAGGGCTTGGTGATGATGAACTCCTTGAACTTGACCTTATCTGAGAAGCACTTTATTTGCCCTTCTATTCTAAATGAAAGTTTTGCTGGATAGAGCAATCTTGGATGTAGGTCTTTGGACTTCATGACTTGGAATATTTTTTTCCAGCCCCTTCTTGCCTCTAAGGTCACTTTTGAGAAATGAGCTGGAAGTCTGATGGGAACTCCTTTGTAGGTAACTGTCTCCTTATCTCTTGCTGCTTTTAAGATTCTCTCCTTCTTTTTAATCTTGGGTAATGTAATTATGATGTGCCTTGGTGTGTTCCTTCTTGGGTCCATCTTCTTTGGGACTCTCTGAGCTTCCTGGACTTCCTGGAAATCTATTTCCTTTGCCAAATTGGGGAAGTTCTCCTTTATTATTTGTTCAAATAAGTTTTCTACTTTTTGCTCTTCCTCTCCCCTTCTGGTACCCCTATAATTCAGATGTTGGAACGTTTAGAGGTGTCCTGGAGGTTCCTAAGCCTCCCCTCATTTTTATGAATTCTTATTTCTTCATTCTTTTCTGACTGGATGTTCCTTTCTTCCTTCTGGTCCACTCCATTGATTTGAGTCCCAGGTTCCTTACCATCACTATTGGTTCCCTATACATTTTCCTTCATTTCACTTAGTGTAGCCTTCATTTTTTCATCTAATTTGCAACTGAACTCAACCAATTCAGTGAGCATCCTGATTACCAGTGTTTTGAACTGTGCATCTGATAGGTTGGCTACCTCTTCGCTGCTCAGTTGTATTTTTTCTGGAGCTCTGATCTGTTCTTTTGTTTGGGCCATCTTTTTTGTGTCTCTGCATGCCTGTCACAGTATAAGAGGTGGAGCCTTAGGTACTTGCCAGGGCAGGGCAACCCACCTTGCTGCACTGTGACACTGTATGTGGGGGAGGGGTTCAAGAGGGAACAATGGCTCTTGCTCTGCCCTCTGCCGATTTTCAGTCACTTCCCCTGCTAACTACAACTGGGCCCTTCTGGTGCTGATTCCAGGTGGGTGGGCCTGTGTACGATCCTGTTGGTCTCTCCAATGAACTCTCCTCTGAGGCTGCGAGTTCCTCCCGCTGCCACCTCAACATCCATAGGTGTTTTCAGTAAGAGACCTCAGGCTTTATTTCCCTGCTGGAACCCTGGATTGCCTGGTCTGTCTCACTCCAGTTGTTCCTCCTGGTTTATCAGCACACGAATGTGGGACCGCCCAGTCTGCCAGCTGCTGCCTTGCTGCGAGTCCTCTCTATCTCAGCTGCCCATCTCTGACCCTCCTACCAGTCTAAATGAATGTTTCTTCTTTAACTACTTGGCTGTCGAACTTCTATACAGTTCAATTTTCTTTCAGTTCTGGTTACTTTTTGTTTTTAAATTTGTTGTTGTCCTTCTTTTAGTTGTGCGAGGAGGCACAGTGTGTCTACCCTACGCCTCCATCTTGGCTGGAAGTCTAATTATTGCATTATTTTCTGTATGAAGCAGTGTAAACCTACTCTTGCCCCATTCCATATGTCTTAACACAGACATATATATTTTTTAATAATAATTTTTTAAAGATTTTATTTACTTATTTTTAGAGGGGGAAGGGAGAGAGAAAGAGAGAGAGAGAAATATCACTGTGTGGTGGCCTCTCATGCACCTTCTACTGGGGTCCTGGCCTGCAACCCAGGCATGTGCCCTGAGTGGGAATCGAACTACAACCCTTTGGTTCACAGTCCAGTGCTCAGTTCACTGAGCCACAACAGCCAGAGCCAGCCACATATTTTTTAAAGAAAAATTATATATGCTAGTATGTTTGATATTTTCTAAAAATTTTGTAATCTTAGTTAATAAGTAATCATTTTAATTATATAGTTGAATTCAAAATTATAGTCTAATAATCCATTAGAAAAAGTAGCTATTGCTCCCTTATGTATTTTATTCCCAAAATATAGAAATGGTCACACTAGGCCTATAGCACAAAAAAGCCTCTTTAATACTAATTCTAAATATCATTAATATAAGCAGACCACTTTCCTGTTATTTACTTTTTTTTTATTTATTTATTTATTTATTTATTTATTTATTTATTTATTTATTTATTTATTTATTTTCAGGGAGGGGGAGTGGGCAGGGGAGGAAGAGAGGGAGAAAAACACCAATGTGCGAGAGAGACAGACATATAATCAGCCTGAAACCCAGGCATGTGCCCCAACAAGGAATCAAACCGGCAACCACTCGGTTCACAGGTCCGCGCTCAATCCACTGAGCCACACCAGCCAGGGCACATTCCTGTTACTTAAAAATAAGTTTCTTCTAAATAACTACATCACAACTCCTCTCCATTCTCAAAACGTACAAAATCAAAAGACAAACTGCTCTTGAAAAAAGAAATCTCAAGCTGTTCAAGCTCAAAACAATAGTATTAAACTAATACAAAAGGAAAGTATCTCTAAATATGGGCAATCAAAAAAATCAAAATAGCCCTGGCCAGTGTCGCCCAGTTGGTTGGAGCATCATCCCATAAACGAAAAGGTCACAGGTTTGATTCCCAGTCAGGGCACACACCCAGGTTACAGTCAATCCCCAGTTGGGGTGCAACTTTAACTATGGAAGAACTATTGCATAATTACAAAAAGGCAAACAATCGATGTTTCTGTTTCTCTCTCCCCTTCCCTCTCTAAAAAGCAATGAAAAAAATGTCCTAGGGTAAGGGGGAAAAAAATCCCATTCTTGAGGTGATCTGTATACAGAACTTAAAAATCAGACAATGTTCACTAGGTGTCCCCAGCCTGCTGTTACTTACTACAGATCTAGAAGAAGCTGGTAACACTGTTCAAAAGGTAAAATAACATAACACTGGATACACAGCACAGCCTTTACAGAACATCAACTTTGCAACTCACAGTGCATGTATACATGTCGGTCTCTTCCAATAGACTGTTAGTTCCTCTGAGGGAAGGAGACAAGTGATTTACTTTGTATGGGTTATCACAGTCCCTGAATGAATGTTTATTAAATAAAAATAACTGTTAAAGTCACTGAAGACTCAGGGTGATGATGAACAGAGGTTTTTCGTTGTTTGTTTCTTACCTGTGGAATGATGCCAGCCTGGCCTTCTTCTTGTTTACCCATCATTGTGTAAGATTTCCCAGCACCAGTCTGCCCATAGGCAAAAATACAGACATTATATCCCTCAAAGGCGTGCAAGAGCATTTCCTTTCCAATGTCATTGTACACACGGCTTTGAGATGCAAAACAGGGATCTTCAGGCTATAAAGATTGAAAGGAGGAAAAAAACGACACTTTATTCATATTCTTTCCTGTGTTTATTAGATTACATCTATAATAAATTCAAGTATTTCAGAATGGTCACCTAAAATATATGATACATTTTTAAAGTACCCCCTATACATAGTTGATTTTTCTTACTTTACACACACACATTCTATTAGCGTGATCCATTATCCACTTTGGATATACATAAAAATATCTACATGAAATTATCGACTATGATTACATTTCATTTTCCATAACCTTATAAGAATCACTCTTTCATGCATAGGCAGTTCCAAGAAAGTTTTCCTAAGAGGAAAATGGGACTAAGATGTCAAATGTCAAGTGCACATATAAAGATACTTTTTGAACTTGCTACTGGTATGCGGTTATATTTTAATAATCACAGCTTTCGGTAAAAAAAATGTTCCCACTCCCTTGTCTAGACCCTTCCCATGCCAATTAGGCTTTGTTAATAGTTCAAAACACCTCTTATTCCAACAAAAATTAGAGGGGGAAAAAAGGAAGAAAAAAACCCCGCCCAACAAAGAAATGCAGAGGCGAACTCTGGTTTAGGTTGAGAGGCCAGAAAGATTAGTAAGGGTACTGCAAAGAGCCCACTCTCAATTTTCCTAGATGTCAGTAACCTCTGATTTCCTTGTTGGACCTGCAGGCTCTTTCAAAACACGTCCCCAAACCCTTCAAATACCATATAGTTCCCCTACGCTGCACGACAAGTACACTCACCGAGGTGTGAGACCAGTAGGAGTAGTCGAAGCTGAAGGACTTCGGAGCTTCCTTTGGGTTCTTTGGGTTAACAATACCTAGAGGATGAAAATGTTTTGATTTTATGAGTCACTTAGTTACATGTTCTTTAGTTCACTGTGATGTTAATGATGGTAAATTCCAAACATCCAAATCTAAATTCATACCACTGACTCTAAATAGGGCAATCAAAACCAAAAATAATCACATTTTAAATAAATGGTCTACATATACAATCTGAAAAGAATCAGACCAGCAATATTCACTAAGTGTCACCAGGATCCAGAACAGAGGCTGGTTCACAGCAGGTGACCATTACATATTTTATGACGGAACCTGAAGTGACAGTAGCCAAAATTTGGAAATGGGCCATATTATTATTTCAAGTTGCTTCATAAGGCTTCAAATATTTCAACACATCAAAAATAAAAATTACTAAATTACTGGATCAATCTAACCACTATTTGAAACAAACTCTTTTTAAAGCTCTTATCTACTTCAGAAAAGTATTTGGTAATGAAGCATTTACTGGAAAGATAGTCTTACTTCTGAAATCCACAGCTGATAACTAGTAACATAAATTATGATATACATGTGTGTACATTTGTGTATATGAGTGTATACAGTGGAATCGCAGACCACTAAGTCTTCTGTAGAATGCTACAATAGTAAAATTACTTTCTGACTGAAAAGCATGAAGTCTCACTGCCCTGTTAACAGTGCTTTCTCGTGTGATTAACCCAGTCACAGCACACTTCGGAGACTGACTGAATGCTGAGGCTTAGCCCCTCTCCCTTTCTCATACACATAAAGCTTTGGTTCTCATATTTCACACAGAATAGCATCCTTATAACATGTGTTCATGAAATCTCCTCAAAGACCAGACATCCCAACCAATCCACTTCGCTAAGACAGGGCCACAACCCAGGGTGTCAGTGAGATCAGGATTAAAAAATAAATCTATCCAGAGCAGCTGCTGCTCAGGACACAAATAGCAACAGTTGCCATGGTGCTTAGTTCTCTCTCTTGCTGGATTCGGCTGGGTACGGCCGGCCGCACTCTTACGTTCCAACCTCAAATGCTGACAGAATGTTAATAAGGCTCACACTGCTCATAATCATGTGACAAGGAGACATGGTTCTAGAAAGAACATCTGCTCACACACAAATGGTAGCCTAAGCAAAGAAGAATGTTTCTAACCAAAAGATACTACAAAAAGATTTAAGTAATAGCCAACATTCATGGAACACTTACTCCACACACTGTAAAGTACTTTCTGTATACTAACCTATTTAATCCCCCCAACCACTCACTAAGGTAGATGTTTTATGATCCCCAGTTGACAGACAAACCATCACAAAGAGGTTTAAAGAACTTAACCAAGACTACAGAACTCACTGGTGACGATCTAGGATTCGAACTTGGAAAAGTTTGGCTTCAGAGCCCACACTCTGAGTTAAGACACTTAATTGTTTATTCCCTATATGCAGCCATTGCCACTAATGCATCTTTATGAATATGCACAGGTGTGTGTGTGTGTGCACATACATGACAACCTCCCTAAAATTATACTGCAGGCATTGTTTAAAACTCTTCTTACCCATTTAAAACTAGGAACTTGAGGATTACAGTTCCTAACACACGAGAGACGACATACAAACTCCACCAAGAAAACGGAAGTCAATGTCATACTGCATGAACCGGATTCCAGGTTTCAGTGGCTCAGCAATAAGAACAATAATGAGATGGGAGGAGATATAGAACATGACCTCTGAAGTAGCCTTCGCCACTCAAAAACATGATTAACACAAATACCTCTAACCTCTAGAAAATATGCTTTTATAAATCTTTTAAAGCCATGTTTCAATCATTCTTTTACCTACCCACCAATTCTGCCAAGAACAATTTAAGAAACAGCTGGTTTTCAGATTCTACACTTTTGTTTCCTTTTCCTTAAGTAAGGAAAAACAAAAACTACACCATGAAATCAAATTGATTTATATAAAATCCTTTTCCTCTTCCTTAGTAATACCTTCACCCAGATCTTTGAAACTTCTGAAACTAATTTTCCTAGCTTCTAGCTTCAAAACCATGAGGTCTTTTAAATAACTGACACTAAACACAAAACCCTTTTTTAACATCAATAAGTAGATCAAAATATAATTTTAAAATTATTTACATAAGTTATGTCAAACAAGGTTAAATTTACTTACATTTAGAAATTCTAAATTCCTAAATGGTATTTCTTTAAGACACCTTAAAACCACCTCACACATACATACAAGACACCTTAGAACAACGTAAAATTCAATATATTGTTACCTGTTTAAGGGGAAAGTGCAAGCAGAAAGCCTCAAAAGGTGTGGGTTAATTTCTATATAAGTTAGGTTGGGTGTTATTGGGTTGGCCAAAAACTCCATATGTTTTTTTGTGTAAAATAACATACATTTTTCGTTTTCACCAATAACTTTATTGATTTGCATATTTTGAGTATGTCAGCTATTTCTTGTGTGGTATAATGCTGATTTCGATTTCAGCTTCAACTGGTCTGCCTGACTGTAGAGCATCATCCAGTGAGAAATCTCTAGCATGAAACTTTATAAACCACTGTTGACACATCTGATCAGTCATGGAACCTTCTCCATATACTACACCATCTTTTTTGTGTGTTTCAGTTGCATTTTTACCTTTCTTGAAATAATAAAGTGTAATATGTAAAAAATGCATATTTTCTTCCATCTTCAATATTAAGTTGGCTACAAAAAATTCAACAATTATTGTACATTTTTTTAATGCACGCTGATATGACAGGTATCAAAATATAATCTAACAAAATTGTTGCAAATGAAGGTAAACACAACTAAGACCTACTAGAGCCATCTTACAGAAAAAAACAAACTTTTTGGCCAACCCAATAGTTATAGGGTTGTTTGTTTTACAGTATTCTTTTTTTTTTTTTTTGTCTTTAGAGGGGAAGGGAAGGAGAGAGGGAGAGAAACATCAATGTATGGTTGCCTTTCGTGCATCCCCTGCTGCGAACTAGCCTGCAGGAAACTGGTCTGCAACCTAGGCATGTGCCCTGACTGGGAATCGAACCGCGACTGTCTGGTTCGCAGGCCCGTGCTCAATCCACTGAGCTACACCAGCCAGGGCTTAGTATTCTTTATATTTAAATATACATTGTATTATCTTTACTACATAAACTATTTCCTAATAAAAGATTTAAAACCCCAGAACTCTGCAAATGAAAATTTTGTAAAAATAAAATACTAATGACAGCACTTGAACTTATCAGAAGCCCTAACTAGTACTTCCATACATAATGAATTAATGTTTTCAAATATGCCAAAGAATTTTTCTTTCTGAACTAATAACAATTGAGATCCAACCCACTTATTTTAACCCAACTAAAAAACAGGATCTTTCTAACGACTAATAAAAAAGGGAGGGGAGAGACAATATATTTAATAGAAAGGTTATAGGATTTGGACCCACAAGACCAGCATCAGTACTTATATATGTAGTATATTTTATTATTCTAAACATATAAAAAAACTAAGAAATATATTTAGATTATTTGTGATCTTGGGTGTGGTTTCGCTTTTATGTCTTCTTGAAAAATGAGCTAATACCTAGTTCATAGGATTAAATATGTAAAGCACTACACAAATGTTAATTTTCAATAATAGTTATTTTATGTTTATTTTTTAAATAAATCTTTTAAAGATTTTATTTATTTATATTTAGAGAGAGAGGAAGGGAAGGAGAGAGAGAGGGAGAGAAACATCGATGTACGAGATTGGTTGCCTGTCACTAGGCCTGCAACCCAGGCAATGTGCTCTGACTAGGAATTGAACTGGTGACCTTTTGGTTCACAGGCTGGTGCTCAATTCACTGAGCCACACCAGCCAGGGCTCTGTTTATTTTTTCAAATGAGTTTACATGCATTTTATTTTTAGACAACCTACATAACATGTTTTTCTTAAAAACAATGCCTCCAAATATACCAAAGTCAAAATAAATGAAGAGCTCATTTACTTTGAATAAATGAAGACATTATCAGTCCCACTTTCCTACACCTCACGTGTAGATGACAAGCAACAGCCAATTATGATGACAAATGATAGATCCGAATTGCCAAACTTAACACTCTTCTATTTCTAAACCATCCTTAGAGGGAATCACATACAGGGTTGCGGCACCCTCACAGTAGTCCAGCATATCAACCACGCCATCTGGATTCATGTTTTCACCGATAAAGAACTGGTAGGTTTTGAAATTAGCAAAGGATATGCTTGATTTGTTCTGCAGCCCATCATAAAGGTTTTACTCTTTCTGGTTTCTGTTTGTCAAGTATCCCTCTGATTGACTTCATGTAATCTTTGATATACGTCTTATGGGCTTCTTTTGTGAATTTCCTGCAAACAATGGTCCACGACAATATCAACACCAGTGATTACTGTGCTTTCGGTGTCTTTGCCCTTGGGAGTCATCGATGTTACCCTCTGTCCTACTGACCATCTTCCCCTGCACCTCAGGCACAGCCTGTCTACGATCTCCCAGGTCTTGTACGTGTCAGAGAACATCTCATCACGGCTGATGAGGTGGCGGTAGAGGAGCGCGATGGCGGCAGCTGGAGGTGACGGAGGTGACGGAGGCGCCGGGTTTGGCAGGAGTCCAGAGCTTGCAGCAAGCAGCACTCCAAAGAAAGGGAGCAGGTGAAAAAGTTCTTTTTTCTTGTTTTTAAACTTGATCTCAAGTTTGGTGGGTGTAATCATATTCCATAGTCTTTTAAACCAAAATGATGAAAGTTGACTAATCAAATAAGCTAAAGCACAATGTAAGAATTCTATTTCCTGGCAAGGGCCACAGTACTATACCTGGGTCATTTAGGTGTGCCATCAAATCTTTGGTGCTGCCACCACATTACACACCCCTTCAGTACGTGGACCATGTCTCGTGGATCCTCTATGCTGCCTGCCTGACACCAAATTCGCACTGAGATGAACGTGTCACGTACCGCTCCTGTACCGTTTTTAGCAGTGGAAGAAAAACCAAA